AGTGTTCTTCATGCATCTAGTTTGATAAATCACATAGGGATATGGATTTAGAAAACCTTAGATAGTGAGTTATATGCTGGAAGGTGATTTCTCTATTTTTGTTACTTGATGATTCCCGAATACAGATTCAATATCGTGATTCTCGCATGCTTAGCATATACCCATACACGCGAATACGATCCCGACGCCCGTAGTCATCCTTGTTTGATAGGTTACTCGTTTCACTTGCTTTCTTATTTCGTTTCATATAGATTCCACACACTTCCATCATTACTTGCTTGCTTGCTTTGATCTCTTTTCGATTTAGATTTGGATTTAGCAACCGGTCCTCGTGTTCGACCCCGTGTTACGACGATCCGTATCCTTGCGGTGAGTTGTGAATCGGGTTATAAATTCTAGACTCGGTACACACGTATCAAGTTTTTGGCGCCGTTGCCGGGGACTGGTTAGCCTATTTCTAGGTCTTTATTGATTCTAGATCTTAGTTTGTTTTCTTTTTCTTTTTCTTTTTATTTTTTCTTTCTTTGGTTTTTGCGGATTCACTTGGTTTCGAGTTCTTCTTTTTCTTTGCGATTTGCAGGGTTCTAATGCATGACAAGGAGCTCTACTCGGAGAGAAGACTTAGTCTACGATCCGGAGATTGAGCGTACTTTAAGAGACATCCGAAATCAGCAGAGAAGAGGAGGTATGTCGAGGTCAAGCAGTTCGCACGACCATCAACAAGAGCGTGAGGTTCATGATGAGGAGCATCACGAAAACCACGAGCACATGAATCCGCTCTACGATCAGCATACCGAGGGCGAAGCTACTTACGTTGCAGAGGAGACTTTGGGTTCTTACATTGCACCGAAGCACACCCAACTCCTATCATGCATCAACAGACCGCCCATAGACAGCTTTGAGCTACCGCCACAGTGCATCACGATGTTCAGTCAGGCGAGCTTCAGAGGGCGACCCACAGAAGATCCCATTGCTCACTTGACTCAGTTCAAGATGCTGTGCAGATCAGTCAGAAAGGCACGAGGCATGACAATTGAAGATGTATACTTGGAGGCCTTTCCTTTTTCACTGATGGACCGGGCAAGAGATTGGCTTTACACTCTTGAGCCAAACTCAATAACAACATGGGAGGAGCTAGAGGAGCAATTCATGGCGAGATACTACTCCCCAGAAAAGACCCGGGCTGCACAGAGAGCCATACACAGCTTCACTCAGGAGAGTGACGAGAGTCTGTATGACGCGTGGGAGAGATTCAAAGGCTACCAACGCCTTTGTCCACACCACGGCATGGATAAGTGGCTGCCGCTTTCCACATTCATCCACGAACTGAGAGATGATACTAGAGCATGGATGGATGCAGCTTGTGGAGGAAGTGTATACGACATTCCCTTTGACACCCTAGAGATGCAGATTGCGAAGATGGCTAAAGCAAGAGGGATGTCAGGAGACAGCATCAGACGCTCTACAGGACGGGTAGATTTGGGCGAGTCCGCTACTTTAAAAGCAGTCATGTCAGATTTATCGGCAATCAAGCAGCACATGGGACTCAAGAATACATCTAACCCGCAGAAAGTCCAGCCTGGTATGTTTCTGGTTGATCAGACCACATCGGAGGAAGAACCGGTTGAGGACGTCAACTACATTGGCAGGAATCAATACCAGAATCCTTCCAATCTCTATAACCCGAACGCGTCCAGGAACCATCCTGGTTTCTCTTACGAAAACCCGAGCGGAGCATTGAATGCACAGCAACAGGGCGTTTCCAGAATCCCTCAGAATCCACCGGGCTTCACTCAATCACGTTTTCAGGTGCAGAATCAGGGATATGAGCAGCAGAATCCAGGATACGGGCAGCAGAATCAGGGTTACCGAGCACCTCAACCTGCGAAGAATGATGAAGCGGACATCAAGACGATGCTTAATGCTCGATCAGAAGACATCGTTTACGGAGCTGAAAACCGAGGTACAGAGCATAAGGGCAAGGCAAGACACCTTTGAGAGGAGACTTGATGGGATGGATGCACATATGAAGCTAGTGGATACACAGATCGCACAACTTGCATCATAACCCTCTAGGCAGCAGGGCACATTTCCTGGGAAGCTAGAGCCAAATCCACGAGAGCATGTAAACGCTGTTGAGCTGAGGAGTGGAAAGAATCTGCCAGAGACAGTCCCTACAGAAAAAGGGACGACGTCTAGATACACTGCTGAAGAGAAAGGAAAAGGCATAGCAGATGAGACACCTCGGGTGAATGCAGAGGAAGCCGAAACGCCATACGTCGCTCCTCTACCTAAGGTACCACCCGTTCCTTTTCCTTCTCGATTGAAGAAGCATGTTGAGGATACACAGTTCTCGAGATTTGCTGATATGCTTCAGAAGCTGGAGGTTACTATACCGTTCTATGAGGCTATGCTGCAGATACCCTCTTATTCGAAGTTTCTGAAAGATATCTTGACCAAGAAGAGGGTAATTGGGAAGGAGACAGTAGCCTTGAGCACAGAGGTGAGCGCTGCGATTCTACAGCATGAGTT